ATCTTCATAGTTACATTTTTAAGAAATTATCTTTATTTTAATTGTTTATCTAGACATGCCAATGGATATTTAGGCCACATTTTGAGCAAAAACTCACAAGGTGTTTTGTTTTTTTTCAAACCTCACATGTGTACACAAAACAACACAATTTTAAGGGTTTGCTTAAAAGAACAAAGCATAAGAAATACAGTGAGATACAAGCTCATAACCAATTTTCAAATCAATGAGCAGATCTGATTCTACGTGAGAAAAGGTTACAAAACAGGTCTGTGTTTTGCAGGAAGCGCTATATGAAGACGGTGTTGCAGGACGAACTTCAAACTTCGAGTCCCTTGGTGGGAGGCCTAAGCGGGCAGAGAGAGCGGGATGTTTGCTCAGCCTAGCAGGGGGTTGGGGGTGGGCCAGGGCTTCATGAACAAGGTTCTGACTACTCACCGATGCTGTTAAAATGAGAAGCGGGCTTTGCCTATCAGGCCTGGCAGTGTTATATATTCTCGCTCTAATTTGATTTCAGCTTTACCTTGTTTACTGAAAATAGCCCTTTGATCTCTTTCTTCTCAAGCAATGAAATAATTAAACTCAGTAAGTCAGCTATTGATGGTCCATGGACCAGGAGAAGAAGAATGTGAAGACAAAGTCCATGGATGACCCACCAGCCATCGTAACTAGTAACTGGACTCCCTCTACTGAAATATTGTAAGAGAGCCACTGGTAGGCAAGAAAAAAACATTTTCACATTCTCTCTTTTTTTGCCTAAAAATAAGGAACTCAAGAAATCTCCAGATGGTTGAGCGGAGGCCACAAGTGCATGTAATTTATGCATCATGTCTCATTGGACTTCCGATTTTTATTGTACCAGTAGCTGCTTCATAGTCTTAACCATTGGATATTTGGTAGTTTTCTCTGTGAGTTCTTCAAGACCTAATTGTAACATAAACACTTTTGCCCTATGGACTTGGAACTCCTAAAAATGCCCCAATATTATTTTATTTAAGTTACAATATAAATATAATTTAAACAAAGTCCCTTTCCTAAAGTCAAGGTAGAGCTAAAATAGCATTTTCTTTCTAATCTCTACTGTATCGTCCCCAGTAATTGCTTTCCTTGGTTTGATCTCATGTACATTAAAAATAGACGATTCAAAAGCCCTTTCTGCATCACCAAACCAAAATTAGTGAGGTTTGGAAGCAGGGATACATTCAACATCTTCTCTTTTGGGGCCCTACCAAGCTGAGAGCTTCAGAGTATTAAAGCAATAAAGAATCACCTGTCAGTTCATAGTTATTACAGAAAAAAATAGTTAGTGTTGTTTTCACAACTTCCCTTCTTACCCCTACCAACAATTTCAACTTATCAAATCCATCCATTTCATGAGGTTTTTACACTTTCTTTAATACCATCTGACAATCTCTCCATATTTAATGGAACTATAACCAATGTTCCAAAATTTCCCCTAAACCTTAACTCTGCAAGCCTCGGTCTCACTGTGGGAACGTATTACAGTCCAGTCACGTTTCTAACATTTTTTGTATGTTAGGAGAAAAAAGAGTTGCACTTCGGAGATGAGAGTTAGCTGGTATTCCATCTCCCATCAGCTTGTGGAACAGCTTGATCGTGACGGAAACGATCCTATTGTCACCTCCCACCACCACCTCATTTAAGGTGAAAGGAAAGGGGCAGTGCCAGCTTTCACCTAACATTAGTTATGCTGGGACTCCTCAAGGAAAGGTTCAATGCGCAAGGACTAGCCGACCAGAGAGGGATGCTGTCACAGGTCAATTTTACAGCCAAGTGTCTGCAGGAAAAAAATGGAACCAAAATTCAAAATTCCCAGGTGATTCTGCTAGCGACAGCCGTGATTGAGCAGAATGACCTGCCAGGAAGGTGAATTCTGTCAGAAAACGCAAATATTTTCTTTACTTAAATAATGTTACCTTCAGCAAAACAGGCGGGCAGTTGTTCATATGAAATTAAGGAAAAGGAAACATCCAGTTAAGATTAACAGCAAAGAAACGCAGGCCGACCGTAAACCAAAGGCGCTTTGGTCCTGGGTCGGGACAGACGGGGCGGCGGGGGAGTTCCCTGGCGGGAGGCGACGGGCGCCCAGGCCTGTGGGACCTGCTCGTCTCCTGCAAGGCGGACACGCTGCCCTGGGCCGTGACAAGAGTCCCACGGCCACAGCTCATCGGCTGGCTGTGGAAACGACTGTGCAACATGGCTGCGCTGGAAGGCGGCCTGGCTGCCGGAGGGCCTCGTTCCTCGCGGGAAGCCGTGCCTGGTGCCGCAGGGAAACGCTGCGGTCTCAAGCGGAATGCGTGTGAAGTTTCCAGAATGTTTCCTCCACGACGTTATTCGGTTTGGGGTTGTGACCGCCGCTGGAACGCATCGGGATGGACACGGGAAGGCAGTTCAGGAGGACGTCGGGGAGGGTTTACGTCGGGCAGCTTTCAGAGGCTGAAGGCTGTGTAAAGTTAAGGCCTTTATCTGCAAACAACAGTGTATTAATAAACTCTATACCGTATTTACAAATGCAGTCTCTTGTATTAAAACGGGATCTGTTCACAGTGCCATTGTTTATACAGGTAGCAATCCCGGAATACTCATGTATTTTGGCATGGGAGTCAGTAGCTCGGTATTTACAGGAAATGTACATGTGTGGATATAAACACGTCACTGAAACAGTCTCTGAGAAGACAGGCCGGCCGCCGGCGCGAGGGGCGCGCCGCACAGCACCTTC